TCCGCCCACCATCTTAGCTCAGGTGCAGACCTTGTTGAGCGAACCTCCAAAATACGAGCCCTATCAAACATTGAAGTCGGGATCACCAATGTTGCAGAAGGTTGCGTGTTCATCCTACATCCGCTCCACCCTCAAATCGGACCTTGGCTGCTCTGTCGCTGAACTGGTATTCGGCGCCCCTGTCCGACTTCCCGGTGAGCTGATCTCGCCATCTCCTCCAGGTACGGTCGAGGAACCTGCCAACCTTCTGCATCGCCTCCGGCAGTTTCTGCGGACGCTATCCCCGGTTCCGCCCAGGCTTTCTGTCTCCGAATCTTATCTCAAGAAAGACTTGGCGACCTGCTCGCACGTCTTTCTACGATGTGAGCGAGTACGGCGGCCCTTCAAACCACCCTACGAGGGACCCTTTCGTGTCATCTCGCGAGGGACGATTATCTACCGCATCCAGCGTGGTACGCGCGAGGAGGTCGTGAGCGTTTACCGGCTCAAGGCTGCTGTCCCGGACACTTCGCTGGGCGAGCCCTCTGGTTATCTGCCCTTTGTTTCCCATCCTCCTCAGCCCCCTATTCTACACTTCTGATGCTCTTATCTGCCTCATGTTTGACGCCTCCAATGTTGCAGTCGGCGCGGTTCTTTAACAGCATGTTGCAGGTCACACTCAACCCTTAGCTTTCCTTTCCAAAAAGTTTACATCTGCCATGGCGCGTTACAGCACATTTAGACGGAAGCTTTTGGCTGTTTAGCTTGCCATGAAACACTTTCGACACTTTTTTGAGGGTAGAGACTTCATCGTCTTCTCTGACCACAAACCACTTATCTACGCCTTGAAGTCACAATCAGACAAATTGAACCCACGGGAGCTTCGACAACTGGACTACATTTCGCAGTTCCCCTCAGACATCCATCACATCGATGGGTCACGCAATGAGGTGGCTAAACCCCTATCCAGGCCCTCGATCTCCTACCTACTACTAGGTCCCGGAATCGACCTGACCGCCATGGCTACCGAACATCGCCGTGTTGGTTTACCCTATGACGAGGACGTTTCCAGATGCCCACTCTAACATTACTGCTAAGACATCAAACTCTGACACTTCTGCTACTGCTCCCACCAACTCCTCTTCCATGCCCCTGTTTATATCACCTGGAGTGGATGACATGTTAATTTCTCTGACTGTTTTATCACCCACATATTTTGAGACATCAATCCTGCCTTTGGTGTTAATAACCGCCGCCTCCGGTCTTGCCGGGAGGCACTGTGGGAGTCTGCCGCTGAGTCGATTCACGCTGCTTTCCTTTATCACGCTAGCTATCTACTCGCATGTGACCAACTCCCCGTTGTCAACCGCTGCGAGAGGCCGCGATCTCCTAGTGGCCCCATGTTCTCCCGTCTGCTTGCCACTCAAGCGCACGTAGGTGCCAGCCAATTGACGCGCACCTGTCCACCTGGCTGGCTGTGTGGTCCACTAAGAACGTCCCGCAGGCAAGGCTGGAACACAGCCAACACAATTTTGCGTACGGACTCGGCGTGCACACGGAGTTAGTTTTGGTTCATAACTCAGCCTTTGTACTGTCTATATTCCGGCAGTAAACTTCTATCTACCAATACCGTTTTGCTTGACTTGTGATTTGAGGGAACCTTCTGTTTGTCGACATCCCAAACTCCGATAGACTCACTGCCGTAGGCCGGAGGTACGCGATACCCAATATCCCCGTGAACTATTTATGCGGAATGGCTATCCAAAGGGCATTTACAAACCCCCGCCTACGCGTTCGGCCCCGGAGGATCCAAACGGAAGAACCACCGATGATATGGTACGCCCTGCCATGTGTCAAAGACATCTCAGAAGCGACTGAGTGCATGACTGCGGGACTTTGGGGGCGAGCTCGAGCTGCGTTTGAGTAAGAGGGAGTTTCTTGTAAAAATCGTAGGATTGCATGAGATAGTCCATCTACTGTAAATATTTACATAGTGCTACACTTACCGCATTCGGCGCCGATGGCTTGCCGCCTGGAAGAAAAAAAACATAATAATTCAGAAAAGCTACAAGAATTAAACTAAAAATGAACAGGAATCTGTGCTAAGTATTTGGCAATAAGGCTCGATAGAAATAAAGTTCCACGATGCCGTTCGGAGGCGGCGATGAGTCCAGCTTGTGGTCTCCACGAGCATGCACATCTGCTGATGATGAGAGGCAATAGGATGCCCCGGGTAAAGAAAGAACTGCCACCCTTCCTACAATACCATAATTAATAAAAAAAAGAGGTATAGAAGACGCTT